GAATCATCTGATTTTGCTAATAATGACGTCGACGGCTAGGAGTGAATCGATCTATCGGTATCAGTAAAGCAGACTGTGCAAAACGTTCAACGTAATAACGAATGACTTACTAAGTAAGGATTTGCTTTTGCCGCTAGATTCGCTCTAACCATCTCCTTTGCTTCTTGAATTTTACGCGGAAGATCAGGATCAATTCCTACAGACATCAATGATGGTTGAGGAGGCAGAGGAGTGTGTACGACTGGTGGACGTACAGGTAGTGATGGAGATGGTCTAAAATTGGCTGCCATGGCCTCCAACTGAGCTTTCTTAGCCGCAATCATCGCCTTGATCTATATATTTGAATTCTTTCAATCAGTTACGAATTCCATGTTATTGAAATAAGACGTACGCGCAAATTTGTACCTGATCAGGGCGAGGTGCCGAGCTTGATATACTAGAGGGATCGGTTGGCGTGGGAAGAAAACTAGGCTTTTTTTCACGATATATTAGCATTTGGAGAACCCAACGTTAATGTATAAAAGAAATTCCTTAAAACTTACTGCGCCGATACTTGCAAAGCAGAAAAAATATATTTCGTAAGTAGAACTTTGAACCATAAAATAGGCAAATCGTAAAAGCGATCAATTAAACATACCTCTTAGATTTCTTTGCTTCTGGTTCATTTTTCACTAATGGCTCGTCGTCGTCGCCAAAGACATTGGCAGGGCGGGATCGCTTGCGTTGCTCCATTTTTTGAATAATAAACGACGAGAGTTCACAGAAGTGAACAAAAATTATGTGAATAAAAAAGAATTGCAATGTTTGTGACCCTGTGATTTAACCGTATTGTCGATCTAACGTATACATATACAATTTTATTGTCATTTTTCTTTTGTTCTTTTATATTATTATTAACATTTTAACCAGTTGATATATTTATCATTAAGTCAAGATAGAAAAATGATTAGATTAGAACTTGGAAAAGTCTATAAGTTTTGTAAAAAAGATAAATAACTTATTTCTTTCAAAAAATCAATATAACTACTATATTATTAAAATATTATAAATTTTTATTGAGAATATTCAAATATTTTTACTTAAATTATTATTTTATTATTTATAAATAAAAGTTCTCTCTTATAATATGTTTAATAAGTATTAATTTTTATTAAGTTGCTAATTAAAATATAACGATAAGCAAAAGTTTTAT